ATTGTTGAGGTCTTAGGAGCTTGTATTTCTGGCAAGGAATAAGTGAAAAGCGGGCTCGCAAGTCCTACATATCCTACCGTAAAATATTGATTTCCATCATCTGTAACTCCTCCAATTACGATGTCCGCTCCTATCATTTGCCTTCGGCCGCTTGAAATCCCAAAGCCAACCCATCCAGTAGTTTGTGCCCACTGCAAAGGAAATTGATCTAGCCTTCCAGTCCACACTCCAGTACAATGTTACTTTCTGAGCTTCGTCCAAAGCGGCTGAGTTCGTAAACTCTGAGGAAAGATCTTTCTTTGCATTCGCCGCGTGGAAAGATTCTAAACAAGCGTAAAGCAGGATAACAAAGTAGAACTTCATGTTGATGACTGTTATCGTTGAGATGTGGTTCTGAAAGTGTATCTATTAGAGTGAATCTACACGCCTTTTGAGAGTTATCAATTTAATGAACGCTTTTTATTCTTATTTACGATGCAATTTATAATTCATTCATAACATTTTGCTATTTTCAGTAACCTCAATTGTTCTGAAACGAAATCAGTAAAATATCACTTTAGTGAGATTCGATATTATACCATGTGTATTTCGCAGAGTCAGAATCTTCTGCTCTTAATTAATATCCAAATATTGTCTTTCAGATCCTTTAACATCTAAACCGGTAAATTGAGAAAAAAGAAAGAAAGAAGAACGTAATAACAGAACGAAGAACGACTCAAAACATTGACACACGACTATTTCCTGACAAGAATCAACAACTGAAATTTAGAGAAAGAATTAGAAGTTGAGCTTGAACATGAAAAATCTACTCTAATCAAGTCAGAGTGACGGGTGCGTGGGTCCGTTGCAATTTCTTAGTTACTGGTGCAATCTTGCGTAGGTATCGAACGCCAAACCAGTTGTAAAAAAGCAAAAATTGTAACGTCATTTTCTTCATTTGGACGGAAGGCCGATTCGTGTAAAAATATCTGCAGTTTCAAAATATAAGGATTCACGTGGACTGGGCCTCATTTATCATCAATTTAGTTATGAATTTTTCCTGCAACATCAGCAATATGTTGATTCACGCTCAATTTGTTAACAGGATCTAGAAGAGGGGGTCTGGATCACGAATCACGTGATTAGGTGACGAACTTATCAAGCCCATCAGCGATTCTAAGTGGTTTCTGGACTACTATAGGCAAGCGTCTGTCTTACTGCGCTTTTCACAAACATATGAATTCTGAAGTTCAAAAGCCAACTGACGATTACGTTTTTCGCTGCCGTCAATCATCTTAACGGACCTCTTAGGAAACAAAACTTTACTTGAACGGGTTCAAAAGGTCATTTGTGATTGGTGGATTTCGATCCGTTTTGTGTCTTTCTGTGTTTCAAGGTTCGTTGCTAGTGATCGTAATTATGATTGACGGCAGCGCAAAACGCAATTGTGAAGGCGGCTTTTGAACTTTAGAATTCGCATGTTTGTGAAAAGCTCAGTAAATGACCCCGTGATAGGAAGGAAACAAAAAGTATTGTGCGGATCAAACTGACGTTTCTCTGCTTTTGGTTTGACCANTTTCTTAGTTACTGGTGCAATCTTGCGTAGGTATCGAACGCCAAACCAGTTGTAAAAAAGCAAAAATTGTAACGTCATTTTCTTCATTTGGACGGAAGGCCGATTCGTGTAAAAATATCTGCAGTTTCAAAATATAAGGATTCACGTGGACTGGGCCTCATTTATCATCAATTTAGTTATGAATTTTTCCTGCAACATCAGCAATATGTTGATTCACGCTCAATTTGTTAACAGGATCTAGAAGAGGGGGTCTGGATCACGAATCACGTGATTAGGTGACGAACTTATCAAGCCCATCAGCGATTCTAAGTGGTTTCTGGACTACTATAGGCAAGCGTCTGTCTTACTGCGCTTTTCACAAACATATGAATTCTGAAGTTCAAAAGCCAACTAACGATTACGTTTTTCGCTGCCGTCAATCATCTTAACGGACCTCTTAGGAAACAAAACTTTACTTGAACGGGTTCAAAAGGTCATTTGTGATTGGTGGATTTCGATCCGTTTTGTGTCTTTCTGTGTTTCAAGGTTCGTTGCTAGTGATCGTAATTATGATTGACGGCAGCGCAAAACGCAATTGTGAAGGCGGCTTTTGAACTTTAGAATTCGCATGTTTGTGAAAAGCTCAGTAAATGACCCCGTGATAGGAAGGAAACAAAAAGTATTGTGCGGATCAAACTGACGTTTCTCTGCTTTTGGTTTGACCACTACAAAGTTGACTGGCAATGAATTTTATTGCCATACAATCGAAGCTCTACAATTTTTCACTTTAACTTTTTCACAATTTTTCACTTTCACTATAGCGCCATTGAGCTCACGGAAATGACGCTATATAAATTCTTGTATCATCATTAACGTGAACCCTCGTCACGACACTTCTATCTGTTTTATTGGTAGAAAACTCGATTCACGGACTTCTATGTTAGAGGATCACGCGTCACAGTGAATATACAGTTCACGAATAACGACTGTATTTGATGGATTTTCCTGATTCACACTCTGTTTACCGGTCAGTTCACAGATCACGCGAAACCCCTTCCAGACCCTGTGTTAATAACCTAAACAACACAAACACTCTAGCGACTCTGACGCTTACACCTTTATTTAAGCAACAGTGATCATACAAATATGGCATACTCTTTCATCTTGACAACTGATACAAAGAGGTACGGGAGATATGACAAAAGAAAAAAAACCAATAGCCAGTTGCGCATGCATGCATCGCCTAAGAAATTTACCTTATTACATGAAATTTTCGCGACATGTTTATTTCGCGATTTTGATGTGCGCATATTTCGCGACACTTAAATTTCGCATTTTTGAGTACAACAGTTTACATTTCAAAGGCAATGTTATTTAACATCATGTAACATGTCTTTGAATTAAATAAAACGTCTTTATCGAAGGAACAATAACGTCAAAATTAAGAAAAACCAAGCAGTTCTCACAATGTACACAAGCAGTTCATACTTGTAGGTGAATTATTGTTCTTGAGTCAATTGACCACAACATCCATTTACACTGAAAATTCATCAGAATAGTAAAAAAAGTGATTTGTAAACGATTCAGTGGTAATAAGCTCGTTCTTTCTTGATTATGGACAAAATATAACGTGAGTCGATGAATTTTCGCGTCACTTTAATTTCGCCAGTTTTTTTGTATCGCGAAATTAAATTTCACGTAATGAGGTAGTTTCGGTGCATTAGAAGCCTTCTCAAATTACCGTATCCGTTGAGGATATGGGCATGCTACAAAGAATTTTCACAATTAAAAGCCGGAGCGAGTTGATAGAGAAAATTTGCCAGCGCCTCTGAGGGAGGGAGAAGGGTGGTAAAAATTGTTTGAACCTTTGTCGAATAGACTTGTGAGAAGAGAGCGAATCTGTTTGCAAGGACGTATAAAAGACCTAGAGAGATTCCCTGGGGACATCTATACCCCATAGAGTGACTTATACGGGAGCAAATCCAGTTGATTAATCGTCACTCGATGGCTTTTACGCCAAAGATAAGAGCTGGAGCGAGCCACTTTAAACGATTTCAAAGGGAGTCACGAGGGTTTACTTTCAAAATGGTAGCCTCGCGCGGTCGAATTTTAAACAAGTGTTCGTGGAAAAAGGGTTATAAAAAGGGCAAGTTCACCAAGACAAGCTTTAAAAAAGAATCTGCAAAGTGTGAATAAGTTGTACATGAGCTGCTCAAAACACTACACGCATGATTATGACCAAAGCGACCGCCACAAACAGGTACCCAGTCCTTCCGGTCTTCAGGGTGACGTCATTAGCACTGCTCTTCGTGGTCGAACAAGACTCTACCGGTTTATACGGAGATGTGATTCTCGGCTTCCTTGCCTTGTCAACACCCTGCAGACACAAAACAAAAAAAAGGAGGTTGTTTATACATTTATTACCCCTTTACTGCAATAAACAAAAATCAGAATCAATTACAAGAAACCACAGTCTACTTCAAGTAGCAGACATGTGCAAGTGTATCGCTTTTTAGGTACATCCTTTCTATTGCCACATCCACGCCTCTGTACTTCACAGGACATTTAGTTTCCCAAATGCCAATTTAAATGGAAGACGCTCGATGACGACTCTTTATCTGTCTATTAAAATTTCAATGGTGTCATCCTAATCTGAGTTCCGAAAACTATGTCTTCATTTCACTTTGCGGTTGGCGAGTTTAAAAGATCGCGAGTTTTCTTTTCTATCACTGCGTTGGTGAAACTTTCAACAAAAAGTTTGAAATGGTTCGTGAAGACAAAATTGTCCCTTTGGAAAGAAATAGGCGAGGGTCCTTAGGCTCGCAACATCCCCGAAATAAAAGAGCCTATTCCGCCGCAGACCGGCTGTATTAAACTTCGCACCTACCTGTATACCGCGGTTACCAGCGGCTTTGCATCTCAGTTTAAGTCCAAGATCCGCGTCATAAGCTGCTCGCAGATCTTGTGTCATTTCACTGGTCCATATTTTGGGCGGGAAAGGGATGGGATGTGTTCCATTCCTGTAGTGCAGTGAGAGGAAAAAATGCAATATAAATGCAACTACCGATCGCCCTATGTAAGGGCATACGGATTCCGGAATGCAGGAAACTTTTGCCTTTGGAATCCCGAATAGATCGCTAGAGTTCAGGGAATCCGGAATCCCACTAACGATTGGAGTTCGACTAACAAAAAATCCGGAATCCAGTAAATGGAATCGGGAATTCACTTTCAGTGGAATCCAGAATCCGAGACAGTCTTGGATTTC